AATAAAATAAAGTATTAAAATAAACAAATATTGGAATATTGAAATATCTGAAATAATCGAATATACAGATATTCAAGTCCCGAAATTGTTGGAAAAATATTCTCTTGACACATTCAGATATTCGAATAATATCCAAAATATAACTGACTTATTCATATATTGATAGTGTTAATCGTTATTATTTTTAGAAATATTCATGCACAATTCATCAACTCACCCATAGACGGAACCTCCCGCTTCCTCTCGAGATCCACTTTATTACCGACCAAAATGACACCATGAGTCGCCATATAATCGCTCTTCCACAAATAAAGCAGCGTCTCCTCGGCCACCTTTAAGCTTCTTCTATCTACCACTGAATATACTACCACGTACACGTCCGGATTGTAAGTTGAACAAAAGGTTTCGACCTCGAAAAAATAAAGACGGAAAATATTGAGAAAATAATAAGAAAACTCAGGAAAAACATTATTAATTAATAGTTATCACGAAATGGAAAATAATTCGATATACGAACAGTTTTCATTTTATTTCCAAACAATAAATTTTATTATTCGCAATAACGCATCGCAATATTGCAATAAATGAAAAACATGAAAGAGTATTGTGATGTAAAGGGCGCTATTTTATTTATTTTTTAATAGTCTGCGTGTCTAGCTACGCTCGGTTTTGTAAAAATTCTCTGATCTTTTTTCTACGAGGTACTATGAGACGCGTATATTTTTATTTCTTTTAATCTATACAACGAGTATTTCTTTTATACACTTCTTTTATACACCTTTATCATATTAAACATTTATATAAGAGCCTTATTCCGATCTAACTTGATAAATCCGAAAGAATAATATTCTCGACTCCTCTTTCGCATTACTGACCATCCCAAGTCCGTTCGTCTTCTTTACCAGATAAAAGAACACCTACATTTCTCATACAGCTCTTGCTTTTCTATCTACGCGCATCATTGTGTTATATACAGCGATTTATGTGGAGTGTATCTCGGGGGTTGACGCTGTACGTAATCGATAATAATAGAGAAAATTCAATAAAAGTGACATCGTACTAATAACTCCATTTACAAGTACGTCGATTGAGTTTCTTCCGGTATCCGATCGTTATTTATTTAACGCAATTTGTTGCGTAATTGACTCCTCGATGCATCGCTCTGGCGCTCCGACACCGCGCTATTTTTATTGCACGAAAAAGAAACATTATGTTCTACTCACTGACATTTCCGCGGCGGGATGATCAATAATTTCCAATTCCGTTTCCTGACCATCAAGCATCACGGATACGTTCTTCTGTCCATACTCCTCGTCTGAAAAACGCACAAATTGATTTACAATACCGTCCGACACTATCAATCAATCTCGCAAGTGTCGATCGATACTTTCATATATAAACATATAATTAAAAACAAAAACTGATGATTAATGTCTCGCTGTAAAAACATGGTCAAATCGAATATGTATCCAATATCATCATACTTCCCATCATCCCTCTCCCTCTTTTTCTCTTTCTCTTCCTCCTTTTCTTTCTCTTTTTCTCTTTCTTTCACATTAATTGAAGTAAAATTGGATCCTTCATCAAAAACGTACGCGTAGATATGTTTATTTCAAGAATTTAATTACTTCCAAATAATGGCAAAGAACTGTCGTTCTTTTTCGAAGAACTATTAAGTTCATGTCTTCAAAGCAGACCATTGAGGAAAGAAAGAAGTATATTGCTTCTTTTCATACATGGAAATATCGATAATGCTCTCTTTTTTCTTCCCTCTTCTTTCCCACTCCTCTCTCTTTCTCTCTCCTTCTTTCTTTCTCTCTAGAAGGTACTTGGCGCAAAATCGATATAACAGGCTCTACTTTGAGAACCGTGCAAAAGTACTCACAATGAGTATCCAGTACTCGCAGTAATTTCGCAATCGTGCGCGGTTTCAAAATCACCCCTAAGGGTGACCTCGATAGGAAACACAACGGAAAATATCATATATAGAATGTGTATACATATCATACATATGATAAATGTAAATATGTATATATGTATACATATATATATATATTCGCCGAAGGACAAAGGAGAAATGGATACGACGGAGAGAAGAGTTGACCAAGGTGGTATTTCTTTTCGGATCAATAGCGAATTGCGTATTGTCTTACTGTTATTTCCTCTAAAGTTTCTGCTGCACCAGGATTTCATCAAGCGATATCCGATACCGATGTTGGTTATCGATGGATTTGATTTGATGCAAAATACGCTCATATTTGCGCTACGCGAAACATAAAGAGAGTTCCATATTCCCCGTTCCCCGTACGACTGGGGTAAGAGTGAGACTTATCGTCAGCATGATTATCGAGAAGGAGAAGAAGAGGGGAGGGGGGAGAGAAGAGTCAAAAGCTCTTCACGGAATGCCGTATAACGCAAGGCAAGCGAGTTTTAATTGCAAATAGTTTACAGTTTATTGAAAGGGCGAATAGGCAAATACTGCTAGGTTTGCGAGGTTTGTGAGACAAAAGCGCAGCGTTAATGCGAACAATTCATTACAAGTGAAAATTGCTTCCGAACGAACGGCTTGTGCGGATTAATTGGCCCGACCGAACTGCTAAATTACACATTATTGCTATGTTGTTGTTTGTACGTTGTACGTGTACATGAAAGATTCGATCGATCAAAATCAGGAAATATCCAGGAGACATCGAATATTATTTGAAAAATACAAATCGAAGCCAAACATCTCCTATGAAAGTAAGCAGCTACGCATTATTGAGACACAAAAATTACTATAATTCCGAAACAAGA